CTAGAATAAAATCTGCCCTGGCTGGTGTGGCTCAGCTGGTTGAGTATTGTCACGCAAAGAGAAAGGCCGCTGGTCCGATTACCAGCCAGGGTACATGCCTAGGTTGTGGGTTCAGTCTCCAGTCAGGGCGCCTTTGAGAGGTGATCGATGTTTCTCTCTCGCATCCATGTTTCTCTCCCTCTCTTCCTCCCTTCCTCTCTCTCTCTTAAAAAAAAAAAAAAGACAGCAAATCCTTCTTATCCATTCTAATCAATAACAACATCCACTTATTGACCACTTTACTGTGCCCCAGGCACTGAGCTAGGACTTTACATGTATTAGCATATTTAATCTTTACCACAGAATGACACAGATAAGAAGAAAGTCGTGATGAGGTTAAGTCATTTTCCCAAAGCCTTAGGGCTGGGGTGGAAGGGGCTCATGTTCTCTCAGGTCCCACCTTCTGCTTCGGGAACAGTTGTAGGCCAGCTGCTGCCCCTTTCTCCTTTTCTCTCACAACCAATTAAGAAACAGACTGACTAAGGAAGATAAAATGTCAGTGTCATCACAGATAAAGTCAACTGGAGAATGAGACTCTAAGTCTGTGTGAAAAATTCTTGCTAATATTCCCTGGGCATCCCTCCTGTACCCCAGCCAGGTATACGTTCTTCCTTCACCCCATTCCGGTGACAGTCTGCTCTGAGGCAGAGGCGTTGAGCCCATCATGCTCCTTGTGGTAGTGGGGTTGAGAGGTTAGAAAAGAGTGAGTCCTATGTACTTTTAGTAAACTACTCTTAAATTACTAATAGATCAGGTCCTGTCCATCCAGGGAGGTGAAACTGCGGATTTCTCCTACCAGTCAGGTGGAACCTGAGGCCAGAAGCGTTACCATATGGAAGCTCCTCAAAGGAAAAAAAAAACCCCAAAAACTTTTAAATGAGGAGAAAGGAGTTTCCTTTCTGTATCAGTTGGCTGAGGCTGCCATGACAAAATCCCACACATTGGGTGGCTTCAATAACAGGATTTTATTTCTCACAGTTCTGAGGGCTGGGAAGTCTGAGATCAAGGCATTGCCATATCCAGTTCCTGATGATAGCCCTCTTCTTGTATTGCGGTGGCCACCATTTTGCTGTGTCCTCACAGGTCACTAATCCCCAACGATGTGGCCCAACCCTTGCGACTTCATCTAAACCTACTTAGCTGCCAAAAATCCTACTTCCTAATAGCATCTTATTTGGGGTTTGGGCTTCAACATATGAATTGGGAGGGGGAGCACATTCATCCACAATACTTTCCTCCCTTGTCCCTCCTCCTGAGAAACCCCTGAGGAGTGGGGACTTTCAGCAGATTGAATGCAATCCTTCTTCAGAACCTTGGAAAAAGTGAGAGTATTGCTTTCTTCTTAGTGTTTAAAAGCAGAAGCATGAAATCAAATCTTGGCTCCATCATTTACTAGCTGTGTTACCTTAGGTAATGCATTCTGCTTCTCTGAACTTTATTTTCCCATCTACAAAAGGAGAATTATTGTGCCTCAGAGCTGCTTTAAGGCTTTAAGGAGATAAAGAATGCAAAGGACATGACATATTAAGTGCTCAGGAAATATTAACACATTATAAAGACACATTATAATTTTGGAGATGCTGTTTGGGGGGGGAGGGGCACCTTGACTTGGTGAGTGATGGTAGTTTCTCTCCCTGGACAGCATTCTGCAGAAAGCACCAGTGGTGTTACAATGCATCCTCCGTGAAAGCTTTGGTTTAGTACTGTTGCTGTTTAAGCTGCTAGTCAGAATTGGGCAACAGCGGATCACCCAGAGGACAAAAGTTCAAAGAAAGCTTTGGAGGCTCCCATTTGTTGGGAAGGACAGAAGGCAGATGTTAGCTTTGCTTGCAAGGCAATGAGTGATGGCTGGGCTGTGCGCAGAGGAGGGCCACTGTAGGAGATTAAGGCTTCTCCTTTACTCAGCGGTCACAACGTCACTGTGGAATGATGGAAGCTGAAGGAATCTCACAGATCATTGGTTCAAATCTCTTGTTTAGCAGATTAGAAAAGTAAGACCCAGAGAACTTTGCTGATTTATTGACTTGATACACATAGCTCGTGATGGTGCTGGGCTTGGAGCACAAGTCTCTCCGAGTCGAATTACTCCAACAAGTTACTGTAGTTAGCCGTGTATATGGACCCATGTTTTTGGGTCAAACTTTAAGGAAAAAAATCTTTTGCTTTAATTTTTTAATTCAATTATTTATTTATTTATATTTAGATACTTGGGTTTTTTTTTTTTTTTTTGTATTATAAAGGAATGTTTCTCAAAGATAAATTTTAGCACTTATTTTTGGACATTATGGTACAAGAAATTTTATGTAACAAATAATTAATTACAAAACACAAGAACTGATACAAGGTACAAGAAATTTTAAAAAGAATTAAAAACATTTACATAGATACGGAATTAGTACTACCTATGTATAATGCACATCCTCACTTTCCCTAAAAAATTTGGGCAAAAAGTGTGTATTATACATGGCAAAATATGTAATAATCTAAACCTAGAAATACCTTTTCTCTCAGGAGCTCAAGATTCCTACTAAAACTCTGAAAAAATATATTTTTGAAAGACGGGAACTAATAATTATTAAGCACTTGTATGTGTTACGATAATACTAGGAATTTCATATGGGCCAAAGTTTCGTATCTTCCAAGCAATCTAGAGAGAGAAGTACCATTGCTTCCCATTTCACTTAAGAGGAGGCTGAAGCTCAGAAAGGGTTGCTGGAGTCACAGGGAAGTAGGCGCCTCTACGCTGAATTTTTACAGCTCAACAGAAATCCATGTATTTACTGGCCAGGCCAATTTTTCCCAGAACTTTTTTTTTAAATGGAGTTTTCTTCACTAGAAAAAGTGTTGCATGTAAATAGAAATAATGGTTCTCAAGCAGGCAGAAAGATCCTTTGAAGCAAATTTTTTAAAAAGAAAAATTGAGATTTTCTTTTTCAGATCTGTGCTAATTCTAAAGAGAAAATTTAAAAAACACCCTCTCAATTTAGCCTTTATTTATTTATTTATGTGTGTGTGTGTGTGTGTGTGTGTGTGTGTGTATGTGAGAGAGAGAGAGAGAGAGAGAGAGAGAGAGAAGGGAAGAGAGAAAGAGAGGTTGCTTCTTATATGCAACCAAGCTCCCAACCCCCAAGTCAGGACAACCTTGGCATGTACCCTGACTGGGAATTGAACCAGTGACCTTTCGCTTTAAGGGATGACACCCAACCAACTGAGCCACTCGGGTGAAGGTGGTTTTTTTTTTTTAAACAATACTAACACAGATTTTATTAACATTTATGAGAACTTTATGCAGATTTTATTAGTTATGTCTTGTAGAAATAAAATGAAACATTCAATATTAGCTTCTCATGCTATGTTTCTAAAATTTTCCATAGTTTATATTTTTTCTGCTTGAAAAATAAATGCACATCGTTAAAACTTTGGGAAATTTCAGTAAAGATTCAAACAGTAAAATAAAAAAAAGTTTCTGTATTTCCACCACCTAGAGATTACCATTCATATTTTGCTGTGCGCTTTAATTTTTTTTAATCCTTAGTGGAGGATATGTTTATTGATTTTGGAGAGAGGAAGAGGGGAGGGAGGGCAGGAAAGAGAAGAAAGAGAGAGAGAAAACATTGATGTGTTGTCTCCCATAGGCACCACCTCCTGGATCAAACCTGCAACCTAGGTATGTGCCCTGACTGGGAATCCAATCATGGAACCTTTTTGATCCTCCAATCAACTGAGCCACCCCTGTACGGTGGTGTGTGCTTTAATTTCTAGGCTATTTTTTAGAGCAATTTTAAGTTTATCGAAAAATTGAGTGGCAAGTACAGTGTTCCCATATACTCCCTCACTCCCTGTCCCGCACAGTTTCTTCTGTTACTGACGTCATCCCCCCAGTGCAGTACATTTGTTACGAATGATGAGCCAAAGTTGATACCTTATTATGAGCGAGTTTACTAGGGTTTGCTCTTTGGGTGGTATATTCCGTGGGTTTTGAGTAATGTATCCACCGTTTTGAGTATCATATAGAAGTTTTTTTCACTATTTAAAAAAACAAAAATAAAATGAATTTTGATTTTTCATTGGATAATTAATGATTTTATATGTTCTTTAAAAAATTGTGGTTATTACTCTTCTTTGATTATAAAAGTATTACATGTTTATAATAGTAATGCTGACACATAATAACCACTTAAATGAATCATCTAAAAAACGGACACTTTTAAAAAAGAATGTGTTTATTTTACGAATTCCAAGAGTTTCATATCAGGAAACAATCACGGAACTTTTGGGGCCCAGATCCCAGCGCAGAAAGCTTCTCTTTGCCTCTGTGGTTTTCATGTGAATTAATGATTAGGCTTTGAGCCAAACAGCAAAGGCAATAGTTCTTTGAGTGGATTCGCCGATACAGTCCCCAGAAGCCTCGCCCTAGGCCCTAGGGAAACCGGTAGGTTAAAAAACAAAAATCCTCCCCTAGTGTTTCCGCGGCTCAGAAAACTGTAACGACGGTGCCTTAGCCTAGAGTGAACTCCGTGCCCAGGCAGAGGTGGGGCGAGTAGGCAGTGGAGGGCGGTTGCCTGGGTGTCGCAGAGGTGGCCCGCGGTTGGGGGGAGGGGAGATATTCTAATGGAGAATGGGAGTGGGGGTGAGAATGGCTGGGAGGACGTTGGGGCCGGGGTCCTGTTGGTCTGGGTGGGTGGGGTGCAAAAAGCTGGAGCCTGGCTCGGGGCTTGGCCTGGAGCGAGGGAGGGAGAGTCGGCTGGGACGGCGATTAGCTGAGAGCGGGTGGGGGTGGTCCCGGGTTGGGGGCGTGGTCTGTAGATGGCCAGGGACCGTCTCGCGGAGGGGAGGGCGGGGAAAAGCTGGGGCAGGGGCGTGGCCTGAGAGGGAGCGCTGGCTGGAGGCGCGGCTGGGGGCCGGGTCGGGGCGTGGCGGCCGAGCGGAGCCTGGCGACAGCCGCGCGGACGGAGCTCGAGCGGCGCGCTTTCTCCTGCACGCGCTACCGGTACGTGCGGGTGCGGAGGCTACCCTGAGAGTCCGGCGTGCTCGGAGCCCGCGGGACCCGGATTGGCCCTGGGTCGTAGGAGCATCTTGCATCCGTCGACTTTGGAGGCCCCGCCGAGTGGGGGCCACGCGAGGTGAGACTGCGAGGGGAGCGCGTGGGGCCAATGTCCCGGGCTGTTACCTGGGAAACCGGGAGAAGGATCTCCGCACGAGGGCGTTCGGCGTTTGTAGCCTGAGGACATCCCGCCGCCGCCCCCTGCCCGATTCCCGGAGTCGCCGGCTGCCCACCTGTTGGTACCATGCGGTGGTTGCTCGGCGCCCTCGGCTGGCCGGGCGGCGTTGCCCGGGGGAGGACGGGCAGGCGGCTTGCTGTAGCACCTCGGTCTAGAGAGAACCCTGAAACTTTATCCCGCGCAGCTCTCGCGGGCCGGGCCTGCAAGGTGGCGCTGGGTGCGGAACCCGGGGCAGCCGGGGTTCCCTGCACGCTCAGCTCCCTCCGGCGGCGTGACCTGCGCGGCCTGCACCGGCCCAGGGGACAGAGCTAAGGTTGGAGAACTTAGTTCCGGTATCAGATTTCTCCCTCGGTCCAACCTGGGGAGAAAGACAGTGGGACCCGGCATCCGTCGTCTCTGAGTTAGTTTGGTTCCATTTCTCTTCACGACATTGGGAAATTGCTACACTAGTACCAAGAAGACAGAAGCCAGCGCTGCTGTCCACGTCAGGGGAAACTTAGGTGACCGGTGGCGGCGGGCCACCCGTCTGTGCAGAATTACAGAACCTGAGAAAATTTCCCTTTCCTTCAAGTACGAAAAACCAAACGAAAGCAAAAGGGTTGGGGAAAAAGGAAAAAACAACATTTCAGTTAGCTGCTTCCCTCCCAGCCTTGGATAATAATGTTGAAAAATATAAGAATAATTTGAATTATTTAGCACTTGTAACCCAGGCTATCCAAATATTACCCACACCGTCCTCCCAAGAATTTCTCCCACACCAACTCATTTTCTGTGTTGGTCGGTGTTTTCTCCCCTTTTAACCGCTCCAGGTCCATCAGATCTTTGCTCTCTCCTTTGCTAACAGGCACAGGCATTTCACTGTTTTATTTCTTCATCTTTACTGACACCTTTTCTCTTGAGGTCCGCCCTCTTCCACCTTCCAAACTTCTCACTGCATTGTTCTCCGGGTGCCTGTTAAATTGTTCGCTCCTCCCTGTGCTGCCGAATCCTGTTCTCTGCACCACCCCACCCCCTATCCTTTAGAGTTTCACGTGGCTATTTCTTATTCCAGTTTCCCAGTATTCGATTTTCACCTACCTCCTTTGGCCCCCAAATGTGCCATCTTCCTCTCAAACAGTTTGACTCGCTCCTTTTTCTTTTGTGCTCCTGTGCACTTGCAGGTGTCTCATTCTTGTTCCAGTTTCTCCCCCCAGGGCACTTGCTGGCCTTTTACCTACTTCTCCAGAAACTGCCTGGGTGCCACACTGCGCCTGTTTCAGTTCCTTTGGCCATGATTTTCCCTACTCCATCCTCATCCCAAGCTCCTTTTCCTCTTTCCCAGTCAGTTCTCCCTGACCTTGCAGGCATCTTTATTTCAGAATGTCTGGAGTGTCAGGAGGAGGCAGCCGCAAGCGCCTGCTTTTCCCCAGGAGTGCTCTGCAGCAGGACTTTTCCATCTGCTCCTGTTTGTTTTCTTACTGAAGTAGTATCATTTGCATGGTTCTTGAGTGAAGTTAACACGGATGTTAATATGAATATTGGGTAGCATTTATCCAATACACAATAAGTGCCCCGCCTTTTCCCGAGGGCTTTATGTGCAATAATAACTCATCAGTTTCTCCTCACATCCCTGTAATGCAGATACTATTACTGTCCCCATTTAACAGATGAGAAAAGGCTCAGAGTGGTTAGGTGATGGCCCAGTTTCTCATGGCTGTGTGTGTAGTGGCGGAGCCCCTCTTCTCACCAGGTGACTGAGCTTCTGTGCCAGAGGACCTTTTACACTCAGACATGGGCTGGGATCCAGCTTTGGAAATCAGGTCATTATTTGCATGTTTTCTTTAGTCTGGAATTTACACCAGTGGGAGACAAAAGATCTCCACCTGTAGAATGGCATATGGGGAAAACCTAATGCCTAGCGCCCTCCCTGAAGCCTGGGGACCCTGCCTGGGCTGACTGCCAGTGCCAGGTCACTTCCAGCTTGCTTTCCTGAGGAGAAGGCGCGGGCCTCTTAGCCACAGGGAGCCCAGAAGGAAGCGTCGTAAAAAAGTCTGTTGCCAACCGTCTGCTGTTGTGCATTGAGAGTTCAGTTTCACTTTAGCTGGGTAGGCCTTTAGGGTCCCTTGTAGCCCTGTGATTTTATGTGTCGTGTTTATTTCTATTTCATTATATGATCTTAAAGCCTTCTTCAAATATTGCCTTGTTAGTGTTCACCTTCCTGAAAGTCAGAGGCAAGTATTTCTACTTTTGCAGATACTAAGGCAGAGTGATGGTCAAGCTTTATCCCTTATAGCTGGAAGGGACCTCACGTTCCACAGATGAGGAAGCTGTGGCCCCAAGAGATAGAGTGACATATCTAAGGGAAAAGCAGCAGGACAGTAGACCTGTCCTCAGATCGCAGATCTTCTGAGCCCTGGTCCAGGGCCCTGCAGGTGGGTGGGTTGACCCCTCTTCCTGCTGCTGGAAGCAGTGAGCCTTCTTTCCCCTTCTGCTCCTGAGCTGAGAGGCACTGGAAGGATTCATTGAGAACAGAAACTCTCCATGGTTTTCCCTTTTTGAGTGTGTGAAAGCTAAACATTTACAAAATGTTTGCTTTTGAGACATGTAATGACATAAATGGGACCATAAAATGGCAGACACATAAATTCAAATATTTCAGAAAAATATTTTTGTTATTTCCAAAACACCAGGAAAGAGCACCAAATGCACATTGCTTTCTAGAGGCATCATATAATACATGGCAGTTTGAAAATTTGTAACTGGAACACTTAACTGTGTTTTCCATTTGTGGAGAGAAGTACATTAGTACAATGTGATTACACAATTATCTTCATCTGTGCATCTCAAATGAAAGAGCAGTGTGGGGAGAGCATGTCAGGTTAGTGGCTGATGCTGTGCCGGCTCTGCTGTGCCCACCTCCTTCTCCCCTGGGACTCAGACTGTGCGTGCCCTCCTGAGTCCCAGCTGTGCTCCTGCAGGCCTGATTAAATCCTTCTGGCATCCTCAGGGAACCCGGAGGGTGGTGTTTACCCATGATGCTCATCTCATTCTGTATCATATCAGCCTTTCTTGACAGAATTAAACCTCAATGCCTTAAAGCGTATGTTTTATTCATTAAGTTCACTCTTATGCCTCTAGAATGGGGCGTGGGGAGGTTATGTACCATCCTTGGGAGAATTGAGGAAACATTTGCTCAAAGCATAGTCTGTACTGTGTGGTTCAGCTGAAGAACATAATATAGCTGGTGAGTTAGGTTCTCCTGCTCCCCTTTCACAGTTGAAGAAACGGAGGTTCAGGGATGTTGTGGTGGCCAGAGCATCGCAGTAAGTGAGAAGACTGCGGTTTGAACAGAGGGCTGCCTGGTCTAGGAGGTCCAAGCATTTCCATTGTCTGTCTCCTCCATGGCTTGTCACTCGTTCAGAAGGCAGCAGTGTTCCACAGACGCTTTTGCAAACTAGAGAATTCCTGCTTGCTGAACTGGAGGTGGGACAGGAGAGGAGGGGCCCGGATACTGCAGGCAGGAGGCCTCCCGGGAGTGCCAGGGGCAGCCCTCCTGCTGCCTCATTCCGGGTGCAGGTGTCCCTCTCTGACTGTGCCTGGGAGAACACTGGGGAGCTATGGCAGTGCCAGGAATGGAAAGAGGATGGTGTATACTTCTGCTACTTGATCGTAGTTATTTGCTGTGGTCGGGGTGTCGGCATCTTTGGATCCAGGTCATGATCCTTCCTGTGGTCATAATGTTCAAATGTCTTGGACATAGGACTGCTACCTCATCTAACCAGAAGACCTGATATCTTGGTCAGAAATAACCTCTGACCATTTTCCCTGTGGCAGGACCACTCTGTGTCATTGTGGAAGAGATGAAAGCTCACCATTGTAATTTCAGGGACCGTGTGCCTGACTCAAGTATCTTCCCCTTTAGCCCTCGAGATCTGGACCGGAAAGTCCTCCTTACCCCCATCATCTGCACACTGGATTCAGCCATGGGACTGGGGACCTTTAAGAGAACTGTGCACAGCTAACCTGGGAGAGGGAGGGACTGGCCTTCCCCCCAGCCCCCATTAACACTGAGGCAGAGTTTGTTTTCTAGCATTGACAGGCTGTCTCTGGAGAAAAATAGAACATGGGTCTGGAATGACCAGACTGAAACATGTCACGGAGGGGACAGACTGCAGGAAACTGGGATTTTCACTCATCATCTACGGCAGGTGCAAGGGGAGGCGAGTCCAGGATTTTATTGTCTTACAGCAGAGGGGGCAGGAGGCCAGGGATGAGAGGTGCTCTTGGTGTGGGAACTCTGACTGCAGCCTTTCATAGAAATTATTGTTCTCTGTAAGTTCTAGTCTTGCACTTGAATGTTAAAATTACAGTTCAGCCACATTAAGCAAGTTTCTGAGGTCAGGCCTTCGTACTTGGTCACACCGCCTATGACACAAATGCCTTCCCAGTCCTCACAACTTACATGCTTTGGAACACATTCAGTTTGTATATTGGGACTCTGTGGCCTTAAGAGAAACAGCCTCTGCTTCAGAAAGCTGCTCCATTTCTACTCTTCTGGTGGGATGGAGTGTGTGCATGTACACACTAACTGTGTGCCTGGCCTTGTGCTAGATACAACGATGGCAAGTAAACCGAGACAGCCCCTGTCCTTAAGAGGAGATCGCATTCTGGTGGGAGAAATGCACAGCAGGTGTCTGGGTAGGATGCTAGGGGAGCACCTCAGAGGTCCAGGGTCCGGGAAGGCTTCCTGGAGGACGAGCTAACTGTGGCCTGGGCTGAGTAGTAACAGGAGTGAGCAAGTTGGGGCAGGAGCTCACGGAGCGAAGCATTTCACCCTCTGGGAACAGAATAAGCAGAGGCGCAGAGACTTGGTGACCAGGGACCCTCACACAGCTGTGTGTGGCTGTAGCTCGCAGCTCATC